ATACTAAATTTACAAAGCAAATATATCTTCTAAAGTAAAGTTTAGCTTCCGAGGAACTATCAAACTCTAGAAATGTCTCCCTGATTGTTTGAAATGTAATACGAAACACCAAATTGAAAACTGAAAGTTTCCTTAAGACCTTAGATTGACTAAGAATTAGGAAAAGAGATCATGAGTCACATGTGACAAAGGATTACAAGGCACGATCTAAAACTAAGAATGAGAGAGAGAAATGAATTGAAACTTACTTTCTCTAAACCAAAAATTGATTGGATGGATATCTAGAAATGGTAATTTTTAAAATAATAAAACTCCTTTATAAAAAACCTATTGATAAATAAACTATTTAATATTAAAATAACATAGTCTCACTATTTTTAAACTATCACCACTTCTAAAATATAATTTTTTAGAGTTTTACATACACAAAAAATATATATAATCACAACATTATTATTTTTCGAAAAATACATACACAACTAAATAAGAAAATAAAAAAAATCTGATTTAAAATTATTTTTAAAACAATAAGACAACAAAATTTTAAAAATTGCAAACAAATATATAATATAAATTAAACAAAATCAAATTTAAAAAATTTATAAAATTCCAAACAAATATATTAAAAATATGACAAAAAAATAAAATTTAAAATATACGTAATACATAATATATTGAAACAAATTTATAGATACACAAAATAAAATTTAATCACAAAATTTAATTTTTTCTATAAATATGTAAATAACTAAATATGAAAATAAAATAAAATTCAGATTTAAAATTATTTAAAAAATAAAAATACATTAAATTTAAAAAATTCCAAACAAATATATTAAAAAATCAACTACATTAAATAAATCTTAAAAACCAATTAACGTTTTGTTAGCTTTCATAAATTAGCTAAAATCTTATTATATTTTAAAAACTGTCAATGACCTTAATCGACTTTTAAAAATTGATAAAACTTTTAATTAAATTTCAATATCTAACTATGTTTAGCTAATTTTCAAAAATCAGGTTTCAATTTTTTTCGAAATTCAATTAATTAACTGATTTTTACTACAGTTAAAAAATAAATTTAAAAGTATAATAATAAAGGAGAGAGACGTAGAAAGAATCATCCATATTTCAAAAATATATTCATTTAAGTAATTTTAATTTTAAAATTTATTCACATTGGTAGTAAGACTTTCTTTATTAAGTATTAATACTTCTTAGGGATTAAAATTTGTCAGAAACTATATACAATTTTCATAAAATATTAAATAGTTTACATTAAAAATAAAATATTAAAAAATCTTAAAATAAGTTATAATATTTTCTAAAACTGTATTTTAAACTTCAGACGTGCATACAAGTTTTTTTTTAATAATACTGTAGTTTCTAATTACATTTTATCAATTTACTATATACTTAAAACATAAAAGTTCATAACATATTTTATATTCATTATATACATACACATATATATATATATATATATATATTTAAAAATGTTTAGTTTTATATAATAATTTTTGTAGTTTTTTTAATGGGTTTAAATATATTTAAGGAAAATAATAATTTCATTGAAAGTAAACTACAAGTATCCTTAAATTGAAATTGTCACTAAATATTTTCCTTAAATATATTGTCGTGCAAATTTAATGGGTTTAAATATATTCCTAGGATATTACCATGCAAATTGTCACTAAAGAAAGTAAACTTAAAAAAAAAAAAAGAAACCCATAAATCAAGGTTGCTTTTTGACGAATCTACCATTGTTAAGGTATCCTTTACTAAAAGATAATTTGAATAGAGACACACAAATTAATATTTTATTTTAAAAAGTAACCCAATACCAACCATCAGTCTAAAAGGTCACGTCATTCTAGAAACAGCATATTCTTATATCATATGTACTAGTATAATAATTAAACAACTTACCTCAATTAAAAGACAAAATTTTAATGTAAAATAAAATTTTGAAAGTGATAACAATATTATATCTTTCTTTATTTTTTTCACCTTTACACTTAGTTGTATTGTCCTTGTTTTAAAATATCATTTAAGTCACTTTCAAGAAAAGAATAAAATAAACAACTATTAAAAAGAAAACTCAGTTATCAACTAAAACATATTTTTTTAAATAATAAAAAATAACTCATAATAATATTATTTTTATAATATAACAAGGAGAACCTACCAGGCGGCCATCATTCATTTCTTTCATTTCAGATACTATGAATATGTTGTCCTTGATATGATTATTTATTGAAACTTTTTATTGAATATTGACAGACACAAACATCAATTATTCCATTATGTTACTTTAGATTGACAGGTGCCGTTTTCAACACGCCCCTCCAAACATATACGCATTATTCATCAAATTTGGCAAACCATTTGTGCCATTTTCAACCCACCAGACAAAAGTGGTCAACTTTGTAATTTTCACTAGTGTGCTTTGGTGTTCACACCTATGTTCTTCACCGCAGTAGAAATTTCCACAAAATTCTGACGCATAAACGTTGAATCCAAAGAAACCAGTAACACTGCATGTGTTTTTGGTTTTCAACAAACTAAAACAGTGCAAGGCAAAAAGAAGAGAAGCATAGAGAGTATGGATTTCATTTTGAAGGCTTTTGCTGTTTTAGAATTAGTATTGGTGATACTCCACTCTAGTGCTCATGCCTTGAGCAGAGATGAGTTCCCTTCTGACTTTGTTTTTGGTGCATCAGCTTCAGCTTATCAGGTTCTTTTGTAGTTTCTTACTTTTCACAAGTATAATACACTTCATTGTTCTTGTCTTTTGATTCTGTTGCTAAATTTGTATTCATATGTTGTGAATTTGTAACTGGGGTAGTTTGAAAGGTTGAAGGTGCAGCAAATGAAGATGGAAGGAAGCCAAGCATATGGGACACTTTCTCCCATTCTGGAAATGGTATTACCCTTTACTCTCACATGTATAACATGCTTCATTTCTTTTGAAATCAAATCTAAGGTTTAATGTTACTATTTTGGTCAGAGAAATTTAATGATAAAAATTATGTTTCCAGGGAATATGTTTGTAGGTGATGGAGATGTTGTATGTGACCAATATCACAAATATAAGGTCAGTGACCGTGGAATATATCTAGAGAGAACCATAAGAAGCTATTGTTCTGAGCTAATAGCATACCTTGACTTCGTGCAGGAAGATATTCAGCTCATGGCCAACACGGGTTTAGAAGCCTACAGATTTTCCATATCATGGTCAAGGCTTATTCCAGGTGAGATTGTCAAACACTTGTTTAGGGGCAATGAATTTCTGACTCCAGTTGAGTATAGTTGCCAAGATCAAACTGTTATTTCAGTACTGTTCTGACATTGTTGTTTCCGTGTATTACCAGATGGAAGGGGACAAGTGAATCCCAAGGGACTACAGTATTACAACAACTTTATTAATGAACTGATAAGCCATGGTTCTTATAAAAACATGATTTTTCTCTTAAAGTTTGATTAAACACCAAAGAGGGGTTCTTCCAGGTTGTCTGATGAACATTTACTTTTTTTTTTCTTTTTTGATTTCTCATAATGTAGGAATCGAAGCACATGTTACACTATACCATTGGGACCTACCACAAACACTTGAGGATGAATATGGAGGATGGGTTAGTCGAAGAGTTGTGTATGGTTCCCAGCCTTGTCCTAGATAGAGATTGTGCAAATTAAATCTAGCATGATATTGAGAAGTGGTATTTATTGTGATTTAACACATGTATATATATGTTTGTAGGAAAGACTTCACAGCATATGCAGATGTGTGCTTTAGGGAATTTGGAGACAGAGTAAGGCATTGGACTACTGTGAATGAGGGCAATGTGCATGCAGCATTCGGCTATGATGTAGGAGCCTTACCACCTCAGAGGTGTTCTTCCCCTATAGCTAACTGTTCCAGAGGAAATTCCTCAACGGAGCCATATTTGGCTGCCCATCATATGTTGTTAGCACATGCTTCAGCTGCCAGGTTATATAGGAAGAAATATCAGGTAAAAATGATGTAATAACTGTTCCATTCCACTGTCATTCATAGGGCATTCTATTTGTATTTTGAACCATAGTCTAGCAGGACAGTGTTTGAGGTGATCATCATGATGGTGTCATTTCAGAAAATCTCTTTTGATTGCAGGGCTTGCAGCATGGCTTAATTGGGTTTAATCTCCTTCCTTTTGGTCTTCTTCCACAAACAAATTCTACTGAAGATATAACTGCTACTCAAAGGCTTCAAGACTTCTTGATTGGTTGGTAAGTAACAATCTGTGCATGCTATGTCTTTCTAATGCTTGCACTAAATTAACTGTAAAGTGAAGAAACAATATTTCTATATCACACTTCATGCAAGTTAGTTAAATAATAAAGAATATGTTTTGACTGTGATTCAATTCTTAACCTCTTTGTTTGTTCCCACTTCAAACGAAAGCACACTGAATTGTTAGGTTTATCACATCTAAGGTACTATCTACTAACTAACAAAAGTGTTTATAAACCACCTTTAGCTTTAGACCTTATGGGAGACTTTTTTCGTTGAACTAAACCAACTTTGGTTGAATAATTCTTTCAATTCTTTAGTTTGGCTTTGCCACAATCACAAGAAATACACAAAAACAAAAATGAAAGAAAATAACTATATTATAAAAGAAGGTTTTATAAATAGAGTATGTAACAATGACACATATTACTGCTATGATATTGGTTAGTGTACTAAATCATACAAGTAATAAAGTAGAAAATCCAGGTATCTTTTTTTCAAGATACTTGTGCAATACTTGACTACTCTCACAATTTATACTCAAGTAGATAACAAAGTTCACAAAAACACAAAGAAACTCTTTGTATTTTTATCGAATAGTTGTAACAAAAATATAATTGGCAATTATATTTGGCAGGGCTAAATTTCATTTACTTCATTCTCTTGTATTCACAAAATTTTCAAATCCAATTTCATGTTAAAATCAACATACAAATATACTCAAGTCCNCAACAACTTTATTAATGAACTGATAAGCCATGGTTCTTATAAAAACATGATTTTTCTCTTAAAGTTTGATTAAACACCAAAGAGGGGTTCTTCCAGGTTGTCTGATGAACATTTACTTTTTTTTTTCTTTTTTGATTTCTCATAATGTAGGAATCGAAGCACATGTTACACTATACCATTGGGACCTACCACAAACACTTGAGGATGAATATGGAGGATGGGTTAGTCGAAGAGTTGTGTATGGTTCCCAGCCTTGTCCTAGATAGAGATTGTGCAAATTAAATCTAGCATGATATTGAGAAGTGGTATTTATTGTGATTTAACACATGTATATATATGTTTGTAGGAAAGACTTCACAGCATATGCAGATGTGTGCTTTAGGGAATTTGGAGACAGAGTAAGGCATTGGACTACTGTGAATGAGGGCAATGTGCATGCAGCATTCGGCTATGATGTAGGAGCCTTACCACCTCAGAGGTGTTCTTCCCCTATAGCTAACTGTTCCAGAGGAAATTCCTCAACGGAGCCATATTTGGCTGCCCATCATATGTTGTTAGCACATGCTTCAGCTGCCAGGTTATATAGGAAGAAATATCAGGTAAAAATGATGTAATAACTGTTCCATTCCACTGTCATTCATAGGGCATTCTATTTGTATTTTGAACCATAGTCTAGCAGGACAGTGTTAGAGGTGATCATCATGATGGTGTCATTTCAGAAAATCTCTTTTGATTGCAGGGCTTGCAGCATGGCTTAATTGGGTTTAATCTCCTTCCTTTTGGTCTTCTTCCACAAACAAATTCTACTGAAGATATAACTGCTACTCAAAGGCTTCAAGACTTCTTGATTGGTTGGTAAGTAACAATCTGTGCATGCTATGTCTTTCTAATGCTTGCACTAAATTAACTGTAAAGTGAAGAAACAATATTTCTATATCACACTTCATGCAAGTTAGTTAAATAATAAAGAATATGTTTTGACTGTGATTCAATTCTTAACCTCTTTGTTTGTTCCCACTTCAAACGAAAGCACACTGAATTGTTAGGTTTATCACATCTAAGGTACTATCTACTAACTAACAAAAGTGTTTATAAACCACCTTTAGCTTTAGACCTTATGGGAGACTTTTTTCGTTGAACTAAACCAACTTTGGTTGAATAATTCTTTCAATTCTTTAGTTTGGCTTTGCCACAATCACAAGAAATACACAAAAACAAAAATGAAAGAAAATAACTATATTATAAAAGAAGGTTTTATAAATAGAGTATGTAACAATGACACATATTACTGCTATGATATTGGTTAGTGTACTAAATCATACAAGTAATAAAGTAGAAAATCCAGGTATCTTTTTTTCAAGATACTTGTGCAATACTTGACTACTCTCACAATTTATACTCAAGTAGATAACAAAGTTCACAAAAACACAAAGAAACTCTTTGTATTTTTATCGAATAGTTGTAACAAAAATATAATTGGCAATTATATTTGGCAGGGCTAAATTTCATTTACTTCATTCTCTTGTATTCACAAAATTTTCAAATCCAATTTCATGTTAAAATCAACATACAAATATACTCAAGTCCTATCCCTGGGTCTATGATAACTTATCAAAGTCTAATCTCTTGGATCATCAAGAAGTGAAATCATGTATTAAGTTCAATAGTCTTACGATTACTAATGAAAAAAAGTTTTATCCTTAGATACAATTTTCATTAGGTACTTAATTTTAGTTCTAGGTTCAAGAGATATTTTTCAACACCTCAAGAATCACAATCGAGTCATGGATGTTCAAGTCACAACAAGCATTAAGCATAAAAATCAAATACTAACATTGAATTTGAAAAACAAATGTATTAACCTCACAAAATACCTAAGAAGTCAGTTTATTACATCTAATCTTAACATATAGATTTAGCTCACCATGGTGGAGAACCTAGGGTTTACAAGATTAAAGAATATGGAAGAAATTAAAACCATAGATCAGAAGCAAGGCCCCTTCCAAGGTTCTTGTTAGCTACTCCATGTTTTAGTGGCACCTCCTATTCTCATCTCCACCTCCAATTTAGTGACCCATCTTCCTTCTCTACCCAAAAGGGAGAAAACTTCTAGGAATAAAGATGAAAACCCAAGGAGAAGAAGGGAGAATTTCCGAGCAGCCCAAACAGCCTCCAAGAGCCTCTCTTCAACACCTTAGGCAATTTCAAGTCGTGAAAAGGTGGAGGTGATGAAACCCTCATGAATATACGTTTAAATTAATGTTGTCAAAATGGACCACTTGACCTGACTCACCACAGGTTGACCACTTAATGAGTCAATACAACCCAACTTACTTATTAACAAACTGAAAAAATTCGAACCCGGTGTGGTCTTAACAAACTGAAAAAATTCGAACCCGATCCAGTCCACCAAAGGTTGATGAGTTAAATGGATTGGCTTACTGGTTGATTTATTTATAAGTTTTTTTTTTCAATTAAAGAAAATAACATTTTTTCTAATTCAAATTTAAATAAATTTCAGTCCCAAATAATGTTAAACTTTAGAAACAATTCAAAATAAAATCATCTTAAACTCCAAATAAAATCATCTTAAACTCCAAATATAATCTAAAAGCAAGCAAAAAAAGCAAAAAAAATAAGTATCTAACATTGATAATTTGGGTGTTGCTCCCTCCACCACCACCCTATACTTCCTCCACCTCCCCACATTATTTTAAATACAATTATATCCTTAAGTTAAAAAGATTTTTACTTTTACCCTATTTTAAATAATTTGAAACCCCAATTTTACTTTCCCAGCACCCACCCACGAAACTTTCTTCCCCTTTCCCCATTTCCGTTTCACCTCCCCACCTCCCGCACTTCCATTCCTTTTTCTTTCTAGTTTTTTTTGGTTTGAAAGCTTCCATTGCCACCATGATGTGAAGGAGCGTTGCCGCCGTGGTGTGGAGGAACATCGAGGAGCGTCCAGATCATCAACCAGCGTGAGGAAGTATACATCAACGGAGGTGACATCCTTCAACGGATGTCCCCTAATAAAATAAACCCTAAAATAAAAAACGTAACCTTTAAACGGAAACGGATGTCGACATCCGTTTTTCCTTAAACAGATGTTGACATTTGTTGAAGGATGTCACCTCCGTTTAAATGTTACATTTTTTATTTTAGGGTTTTATTTCAAGGTTTATTCGAATACACACCTGAAGGAAGCACGACACGCACTGCACCACTCCACACACTGCACCACGAGAGCGACACTGCACCACGAGAGCGACACTGCACCACGAGAGGGAGACTGCTTGATAATTCTTTCCACCACCACCAACCTTTGCAACTTGTAGTATCTCACAACGACGAAAGAAAGAAAGGAAGAAATATAATGTTAAAATGAAAGAAAAATATTTTACTCATGTACGAGACTAGAATAGGTTATTAGTGAAATAGGTTGTGAATGAGTAAAATTAAAAAAATAATAACCCTAAAAATAAAATTTTACTGAGGGGAAAAATAGTAAAGGGGAGGTGGAGGGAGAAAGGTGTGGTGGTGGAGGGAGCAATACCCTGATAATTTTTGTGTCACTTATCTATAAGATTAGAGTTTTGAATGGATAAATCCATGTTATTTTGCTCTCTTGAAGCATTTTTCTTTATCCCGTCAACAATGTAATAAAAAATAGTGTTAATTAATAATATTGAAACACAAGTAATAATTAGGGTTAACCAGGCTCAAAATTAGCTCATATTGAAATTTTAAATTATTTTTCAATCCAAGTCGGCCCGAACCCTTGATGGGTCGGGTTGGCTCATTAGTTTCAACCCGTTTTGACTAATTTAAATACTCAATTTTGCAATGCGCACTCGTCGGGCAAATTCGGGTAAACTAACTTGGGTTTGGAAAATGTACTTGAATAAATTGTAACTAAATGATAATCCTTGAGATATTAATCTTCTACAAAATATTTCTCAAATAAAATCCAAATACTTATCTTTTTCAAAATTTCTAATAGAATCTTAATTATCTAAATAAAGATAAAATATTTATCTTTTCTAAAATTATTAAATAAATTCTTAATTGTTTAAAAAGATAATAATAAAAATACCAAAAGATAAAAATAAACATAATAGAAAACGTTATAATGCCAATTATCAATTACATACGCATAGAATTTCACATGTTTTCTATATACAGAACAAAGGAAAATGAAGAACAGATACCGCTACAACAATTAAGACAAAATTCATTTAATACAAGTGATAGACGGTATAAAATTTGACTAAACTTAACACAACTAGATCATGTAGTAGACTATCTTTTGTGCTCTCCATCCGACAATCATCATTAATGATGTTAAGAATCCAAGTATGGGTTGAAATTTTCACATTAAAAATAAGGAAGTTGAGCAACCATAAAGAAAAAAGACACCTTATCTTAATACCTTCATGAGACTCTTAAACTTCAGTGCAGAAGATGAACTCCTTCTTAGATAGGGTGGAATGTTTGTAGCTTCTCCCTAAAAGGACTTAGGCAAATCAACCCAATAACATGCTTCTTATCTGCTCCAAAATGGTTTTATTTATTCTCTTCGCAAGATCATATTTTTCAAGGTGTACCCACGACTGTCTTGTGCCTCCTTAACAACTCTGTCTTGCAAAACTCGTTAAGTTGCTTTGATACAAACTCCAATTCATTGTAAATTCTAAGCACTTGAAGTTTGGTTACCTATTGATTAATGATCATGGTGCTTCACTCCTTAACTCTTTGAAAGGTCTCACTCTTACTTTTCAAGATATAAATCCACACCCTCCTAAAGTAATGTCTATGATATTAGTGAGGAAGTAAGGCCCTCCACCATGAGTTTCAGCTTGTGTTGGACCCCAAAGGTCTGCATGATTTTCTCATCTAATGAATACAACTGTTGCTTCAAATCGAGTCTGTGTTAGACATTTTGTCAAACAAAATGACTCAAGTTTCATCCATATTGACACAACAATTCTCTCCTTCGCAACTTCCCTAGATGCCTTGTCTCCTATGCACAAAATTATGGAACTTTTGGCTTTGCTGATTAATTTAGTCTCTGCCCTTTGAGACGAGGATGCCAACATGTTCATCTCACCCTTTATCGCATCAATAGATTCTTGATGTTTCAAGATAACTTCCATTCTGACATAATTCAAAGTCATTCTGAGCAAAAAACTTCTCAATATCAAACTTGGTGGCTGTATGTTCAAACTTTGATCTT